GAGAGAGAGGGAGAGGAAGAGAGAGGGAGAGGAATAGAGAGGGAGAAAGAGAGGGAGGGAGGGAGGGAAGGAGGGAGGTAGGGAGAGAGGGAGAGGAGGGAGAGGAAGGAGAGGGAGAGAGGGAGAGAGAAGGACAGGGAGAGAGGGAGAGGGAGAGAGAGGGAGAGAGAAGGAGAGGGGGAGAGGAGGAGGGAGAGGGAGGGAGAGCAAGAGCAAGTTTCTCTTGGCTTCCTGGCGCGTGGGTGTGAGAGGGCACACTGGGACGCTCCCTGGCGCGTGGGTGTGAGAGGGCACACTGGGACGTTCTCTGGCGTGTGGGTGTGAGACGGCACACTCGGACGCTCCCTGTCCTGTGGGTGTGAGAGGGCACACTCGGATGCTCCCTGTCCTGTGGGTGTGAGATGGCACACTGGAACGCTCTCTGGTGCATGAGTGTGAGATGGCACACTCGGACACTCCCTGTCCTGTGGGTGTGAGAGGGCACACTCGGATGCTCCCTGGCGCGTGGGTGTGAGAGGGTGCACTGGCACGCTCCCTGTCCTGTGGGTGTGAGAGGGCACACTCGGACGCTCCCTGGCACGTGGGTGTGAGGGAGCACACTCGGATGCTCTCTGGTGTGTGGGTGTGAGATGGCACACTTGGACACTCCCTGTCCTGTGGGTGTGAGACGGCACACTGGGACGCTCTCTGGCATGTGGGTGTGAGACGGCACACTCGGACGCTCTGTGCTGCTCTGACTCTGGGTGCAGGAAAGCAGAGTGTCTGGAGCTTCTCCCAGAGCTCACGGCTGCAGAGGTTGCTTGTCACTGAATTATCGTTCTCGTCAATATTTTTATTATGTTGCGGCCACTTCCCTGTTCTCAGTGAAGGGCGATCGTAGGTCTTACCTACACTCCGAGAAGACAGAAGAACGGGCTGGCCATGGAGAGCTGCTAGGCATCCCCCACCCACACGGCAGACTCGTTGCTGAACCCCGGAGTGAACCCACCATGAAGGCTGGCTGAGCTGCGGGCCTCTCAGTCATCCTGCGACTAGAGTACAGCATTGGCAGTCAGCTCAGAGGCCAGCAGCCTCGTCTCTGGATGGAGTGCGTCTTCCACCCAGCCCACACCCACACCCACACCCGCACCAGATGGGGCGGGAGAGTGCCCTGGGTGAAATAGCGGCTCCTGGCAGAAATTAATTCCTGGAGTCAGAGACGTTGCTGATCTGTGACCTGTGAGCTTTGTGGACGACAGAGGTGGATGTGAACTGGGGGACTTGCACTTTCCAGAGTGAAAGTGTGTCGAGCAGAGTGAGGCAAAGTGGCTCCGGGGAGCCCTCAGCTGGAGACCAGGCTGCTGGGCTCTGGCACACCCTCCTTCCTGCCTTCCCCTCCCTACTTGCCTTCCCATCTGCAGAATGGCTGCCAGGCCCGGGCTCCCACATCACACCTTTGCTCACACGCTCTCATCTGCCAGAGCAGACAGAGCAGCATGTCATGTTTCCCCAAACAGGATCAGTTCTTCAGGAACCAGCCCTCCTGCTGCTGTGATGGAGCGCCTTCCCTGCCAGAGGCAGCTATTCCTCTTCCAGACGTGCATGGTTTACCCTAACACGGACGTGCTTCGCCCAACCTTTACTTGTGAGTCACTGTGCACTCGTTTCTTTCATCGTGACCTCTGCCTTCCATAACTCACTGCCCGTGCGAGGGGCTCCGTGTGGCTCTGCAGAGCACACGTGCGGGGTAGTGTACGACGTGCCCATCTCTGGCAGTGACTGCCGCGTCAGGCCACGCACGTCCGAGCCAGCTCTGCCGACGTGTTGAGCTGTGGCTGGCATCGCGCACTTGCTCTGCTTTACTGCCCTGTCACCCGTGTCCCCTGCTTCCATGCCTGTCTTGTGACCCCGTCCCAGGCCCAGTGAGGTTTCTGGTATCTGCCACGACTCTACTTCCATGCAGAGGGCTTCCGTCTCCGCCCTGGAGCACGAATGTTCGGTGCGTGTTGCGTGCAATGTGCCGTCCTCCGTGGCCTGGCTAATGTCACATGTTTTCTGACGTGCCAATGGCATGTTTTCTAGGTTCATCCTCTGTGTTAAATGGTCATGTGACCAGATAGCTCTCAAAGGAAGGCATGCAAATGTCTTTCAAATGTTAAAAAGCACATGAAAGAAGCCCAGCCTCTCAGTGTAAGGGAAGTGCAGATCAGGGTCACAGTGACAGTCCAATCCAGTCGGACAGAATAACAAGACTGGTGAGGCTGGGGCTGCCCCTGTCTGGCCATGGGGATGCAGAGCACTCCCAGGTTCTCCAGGTACAAATACCCCGCCGGTGAGGAGTATCACAGTTAGGGGCGGAGGAAGAGAGGATCCTGAGATGGCCGAGAAAGTCGAGCTTGTCGCTACGGCAGTCTCTGAGTACTCAGTGAGTACTCAGTTGGTACTCTGTGTTCACCTCTCTGGCTCCCCAGCAGACTCTCTGACGCAGTTTCTGTGGATGTGGTGTTTATGGCGCTGACCCCCCAACCCGGCTCTGGCTTACTTAAATGCCCCTCATTGGCTTCTCCCCATTGCTCTGGGGCAAGCAAAGCAGAAATCAGGTGTCTGCCCCTGAAATGGGCCTGGCAGGGCTGGGGCATGGAAGGCCTCAGAAGAGCAAGAGTGTGTTATGGGGTAGAGGCTGTGGCCAAGGTGGTTGGACCCTTCAGGCAGACTGTGCAGTCCAGTGCTGGACCTGGGGGCTGAGAAACATCCTGCCAACGTGTGAGTCCACAGTCCAAGAGCCGATGGGGAAGAGACTGCTGTGGCCATTCCCCATGGGGTGCTCCTCACTCTCTCTCTCTTTCATTCTTGAGAGTTTGTTCACCCTTTGGCAAATTAAAAAAATAATAAATGAAAATTTATACCAAGAAACATTATGTATGGAATTCCTTTTCTTTTTTCTTTTTCTTTCTTTTCTTTTTCCCCCCAAAAGAAACTTGTAATTTAATTCCATTTCCCCCCACAAACTTCTGGAAGTCTGCTCACGTAACAAAGATGTCGGTGAACAGCCTGTCTCCTGGGTTTCAGGGATGGATCTCTTATGGATCATGACGGATCTCGGAGTAGCCATGGAACACTGCAAGAGGATTGTTTTGTTTCAAACCAGAAGTGACTCCAAAGCATCAGTATCAGAACCCACACTCTCAGTAGACACAGTCGGCCCGGCCAGCAGAGGCAGCCCCCACTCAGATCTCTGCAGAGGACAGAGGCCAGCGCGGGAGACCATTACCAGATGGCAGCTTGGGGCAGCCCGGAGTCTCTGACAACCAAAACTGCGCCTTCTCGGGCGCGTGCACAACGCTCAAGGTGGGCTTGTCTTGTTTTCTATTCCCCTCATTTCCGGGGTCTGTGGGTCTCCCCCTTCTTTCTCTTCGTCCCCTCCTTCGCTCCCTCTGCACACAGCAATTCCTGGGGTGGCGATTGGGCGGCTCAGGGACCTGGACTGCGCTCCGGCGCCAGCCGAGCAGGGGGTGGGACTCCGCGCAGCCAGCTCCCCGCAGGCTCTGGCAGACTTACCCGCGCTCCGAGGCGGAGGCGCAACGCCGGTGGCCAGAGGCCGGCCCAGCGACCGGCGTCTGACACCTGCGCCCGCTCGGCCTGGTGCTGGTGCGTTCCGGCCGCCACTTTCTTTTTCAGTCCCTGGTGCGGAGAAGGGGAGGGGACGGGGAGAGGCCTGCGGAAAAGTGAAGGCTGCGAGGTCCTCGCGTCGTCGGCGGGAGAGGCAGAGATGCAGGGGCCCTGGCGGGAGCCGGCGCGGGAGCAAATGGTCCTCGAGGCCGCTGCGCCCGCCGCCTGTTGAGCAGGTAGCCCTGCCTGCCCTACCTCGCTTTCCTCCGGCGGTTGTGCGACCCCGCCCGCTGAGCGTGGGAAGCCCGGGTGAGTGGTCGCTGCTGCTCGCCCCCGTCCAGTGCCCTCCCTGTCCCGGGCCCCGTTTCCCATGCTGGGCAGACGTGAGCAGGCTGGGAGAAGGCGCAGGGCGGGGCAGGGCCGGGGGAGGGGGGGGCGCGCCCAGGGGGAGACTGGTAGGGGCTCTGGAAGGCGGTGGGAACCGCCCGGCGCCAAGGAGGGACGCGGAACCCTGGAGGCCGCGCGGGTTCCTGCAGCTCCAGCTTGTGGGTGCCTCCCGGTCCTTAGCGCCCACTGCCTGAAGGCGCTGCATCTCTAGGAGGCTGCTCCTGGCGCTGAAGTGGTTGCGTGAGTGTGTGTGCACACATGTGTGCACGCGCCTGTGCTCGAGTGTGCCTGTGCACACACGTGTGCGTGTGCCTGTGCGCAAGTGTGTCTGAGAGCGTGCATGTGCACATGAGTGTCTCTGCTGACGTGTGTGCATGTGTGTGCCGTCATGTGCACTGTGTCCGCAAACACGTGTGATGCGCGTGTAACCCCGCACAAGTTCCAGCTGCCCTGTCACCTGGACCGGGAAGTCATAGTCGCCTGGGCCCCAGCTGAGCCTCCCCATCTGTGAGGTTGCCTCTGGCAATGGGGCTCAGCCATGGACTGCGCGGGCCTCCTTGCTTGCTGTGTCCAGGACAGTCCCTTCCTTTCACAGGTGGTGGACAGTTTACCCCTTCTGGAGTGAACAGGGTGCCTGTCTCACTTGGTTTCTGGATCTGGGTTTCCAGCATGTAGAAACTGTGCTTGTCTAAACAGGAGAATTTGCTTTTTCATTCAAACTGCAGGTATACAGAGCAGAGGTGTTTTAGGGCCAGTCCTGCGGTAGCACTGGGTGGCTTCTGTCCACCTGCTCACTACAGCTGGTCTTGACAGGGGTCTTTAACTGTCACTTGCAATCAAGCCACAGTGAAGCCCAATGATACAAAATTTCTATCTTAGAAAAATAGTGTTGCTTTTCTTAAAATGGCTACTGTTGTTTTCTTCAGAGGTGGTCATTTCCATAGCTGTGGAGAGTAGAGGGGAATAATTAATGATAGCAACAATGTAACAATCTGGAGAACATGGCAGTTCTAAACAAACCTCTCTTGGAGAAACCCCGGTGATCTTTCTTGCTCCTTCAGTGGCTCCTGCTAGTCTCCTACTAGTCGGGCTCAATCCGTTGATAGACATCTGTGTCTGCCACTCAGGTTCAAGGTCTCAGAGAGATGACCAGAGCCAGGTCATCTGTAGGGAGATAGTTTAAGTCCTCAACCAGAGGGCTCTGTGGTCGATGGGAAAACCACTGGGCCATTGCAATCGTAGGCCACAAGTGCTGTCCAAACAGCAAGCTTTCTGCATGAGGCTGCAGGGTAGACCGGCAGGGAAACTGGGGGTATTAGATGTTGCTATATTACGCGTTGCATACAAAGTAGAGCTGTTTGTAGGTTTTGAACTGTGTCAGTTGGGAGCCTGGGAAGTTAGGTAGGAACTATAAGGCGAATGAAGTACTTCCCGTGTCTTTCTTCTGTAGTAAGAGCCCTAGTATTTGAGAGAAAATAAAAAAAATATTTTCTGTCTTTGAAATCCAACTGAAATATGCTTGATATGGTATTTTATAGTATATAAAACAGAAATAGCCCCATAAGGGCCCAGTTTCTAGATGTTCAGCTATAAAATAATATATTTAAATAGTTTTTTTGTCATTCAGAAGATGAGAAAGAAAGCAAAGTTTTTACGGATATAGATTTGATAACACTAAAGAAAAGGAAGATGCAAATGGCAGAGTGCTTACTGCTAGCATCTCTTGTAACTAAGTTTTTTAAATAATCTTGTTTTAAGATATCTTGAAAAAGTTGTTAAATTAATGTTATATTTCACTACAAAGGTGGTAACATTAAAATTAAATTGTATTTATTATGAATACATCAACACAATATTTTGTAACTAAATTTCAAGAGTTCTGTCAGCTATTTTTGAACAAATTATCTTTAAATCTTTAGCAAATATCACTTTTATTAACACATTAGCATATCATATAACCTTCAAGTTTGTTAGAAACCATATAGGAAAATTAAATCAATATATTTACCTTTGCTAACCATTAATGAGTGTGTGTGTATGTGTATGAATACAGGTATAGTTACACTTCGGTTTAAAATGACATGTACCTAAAAATATCTAATTGCAGATATAGATAAAATGGCCTTAAAAATGCACCTCCAGAAAGCAGGTGGTGGTTAGGGGTCAGGTAACTGGACCCACGTGGGGAGGTCCTGGGTGGCGCCCCAGCACTTCTCTGAGCATGCTGGGGAGGTGCGCTGGCTGAGACAGGGCGGGCCACGTGAGGGGCGAGCTGGCTGAGGCTGGGTGGGCCACATGAGGATCGGGCCAGCTGAGATGGGGTGGGCCACACGATAGGCGGGCTGGCTGACATAGGGTGGACCACATGAGGGGCTAGCTGGCTGAGGCAGGGTGGGCCACGTGAGGACCCTGCTGGGGACACCTGTCTCTCTCCCTCATGGAAGAAATGAGCAGACTTAAAGAAAAAGAGAATTTCCTCTAGTAAAATGGATGGAGAGGTTAAGCAGTATTTGGATATATAAGCCGGAAGCGTGTTCCTGATGGTCCCGGTGGGGAAGCAGCTCCTCGGAGCCTTCCTCCGGTCAGCCTGCCCGTGCGTGCAGTGGATCCTTCATTGCTAGGACATTCGATTCTTATGGCACGGACACTTCTACTAAGAACTGGGAAATATTCGCCCAAGACCTTTTCTCAGTGTACGAATTACCGCCCTGCACAGCTGTGAAAGTGTCCACTTTTCTCCCTGAAGTACCAAGACTTGCCACGATCCCTTGGCCAGCCGGCTGCAGGCTGACTGGGGCCACGTAGGGCCTGCTCTGGGTGCCACCATCGTCACGTAGCACTAAGAGCTTTCTGGCAGGTTCCGGCTTGCCCCGGGCCAGCGTAGTTACCCATAAGCTAGTTGGCTTCCTCAAGGTGGAGTTCGTCCTTGGTCACCCTAAGTCGGGTCCACTTCTTTTACTTCCCTTCTGAATAACTGGAATGTCTTCCTGTTTCGCATTTGCGGCTTCTCTCCTGGGCACAGGCCAGTGGGCTCCCTCTCCCATAGCCCTGGGACTTTCAGAGTCAGAGTTACTCCGGAGCAGCGTGGGGCTTAGCGTCCCCCCACCTACTGCCCAGGGAGCCCGCTGAGCTCCAGGCCATGGCTCCGTGTTGCAGAAACGGGACTGCCGTGGCTCGTGGTGACTAACTGCTCTCAGGCTCTCTGGCCGTTAATCATCTTTTATCAAAACAAACCTTCCCTTTTACGACATGGAAGCCAACGCCGATAAATTAACCACATACCAACTCCTCCACTTCACTGGGGTAGAATGTGCTGGAAGCCAGCACAAGCACTGGCTTTGGGAGAGAACTCCCCGAGGAAACAAATGGGGCTCCCTCTTCCCCTCTGCTTCCGCAGGCCACACCACACCTGAGAGCCTACCCGAGCTCTGCCACACTCGGCCTGCTGCGGGGACCCTGCGCCCTCAACCCCGTGGGTGCTCGGAGCTCAGTGCTGCCCTCCTCACTACTGGACTGCTTTCCTCGGTCTTGGCGGTGAGACTTGCCTGGTCTGAGGATGCAGCATGATGCACCGGGCTGTGCTGTGAGGGTCCTGTGTGAGGGCTGAGGTCTCGGGCAGCTGGAGATCTGTTCAGACTCTCCTCTCAGTTCCAGCCACTCAGAGCTGCCCCAGCCCCAACACTTCTCTTCCCATCCTGTCACCATTTCTCTTTCCAAGTTTGCACCCTTCACTGCTGTCCCCTCTGTCCGTGTCCTGTGCTGTCCCCTCTGTCCGTGTCCTGTGCTGTCCTGTCTGTCCATGTCCTGTGCTGTCCCCTCTGCCCGTGTCCGTTCTGTCCCC